GGGTGGTGTTTTTGGTTTATTTTGCTTTTTTTTTTGCTTTTGTTGCTTCTCCTGCCCCAAATCAGTCTCAGGTATTTTCTGTATTTCAGAGAAGGACCTAGACATCTGAGTATTTGGAAGAAATCTCTGAGGCTGTTTGCTTTATTCCATTGCCACTTTGCCACAAATGCTTCACAGAGCTGAGCTAGGTGACTGCACACGGCCAGCTGCTTCACTGTTCTTGTTCACAGCGTTTCTCCAGCAAGGAAATGCACTGACCAGAATAAGCCAGGCTTAATATAATTCTGCTTTGTAGCAGGTTTATTCTGATTCTTGACCAAACTGGGAAATGTGGTTTCAAGCACAGTCATCATTATCAGCCTTCCCTCTGTTCTTCACCATCCAGCCACTGGGCAGGATATATATGTTTAATTAATTCTGCTTTTACCTTCGACCTGTAAATAGTGGAAGTAATGTCAGATTTATACGTTATATGAATAACAAGGATTTCTCAGGAGACCCTGTCTTGGTGAAAGAGGCTAACTGTAATTTTCAGCTGTGAGTAATTGTATATAATATAATCCTAAATGATTTTTCTTCTGTAATTTCATTAGAGTTTAGAAATTTAATTAGATTTTGAATCACTCTGAAATAAAGTAGCAAAACACCCAGAGACTAAGTGCAGTGGTTATTTTGTCCTCCGAGGCCAGAATTCTTGGTCTCAAATTGGCATGTGTTCATTAGGAGGAAGTTTGCAGAAGTTCTTGATATATTATTGTCTTTCAGAATGGACTCTGAATAGGTCTTTGGAGAGCATTAGAAGAGCACACAATTATTATACAGACTCTTTTTGAGGTTTAAGATCATCTGCCTTTCATATACTTAATAAAAATATGCCTCTAAAGTTGTTTAAGAAACTGTGGAGATAGGAAAGATGCTACTCCAGTGCCTCAGTGCTCTTCCTGGTTTATTAGCAACTCCAGTACCTGTGTATGATGATACAGAGAGGAGTTGTTTGCTTTACTTTAATGATTAGGTGGGTTTATGGTTATTTTTATTGCTACACATATGAACTGTCAAGGTGACTATAATTAGAGACACGCTAAAATGCTCTTCCTTCTAATCCATCTGAGGTTCAAAAGAAATCTGTCCTGGCCAGCTTTGATTCTCTGTGGAATTCATCCTGCGGTCAAGAAATGGACTCAGATGGACCTGAGCAGCATGAAGCAAAGACCAGTGGAGTACCTCAGGGACACCAGGATAGTTGTGGGTTCAGAAAGGAGATTCTGTTTAAAGATTCAAAAAGCAAATGTTTTAGATTGAAGAATTTCAGGAGGACAAATCAGACAGACAAACATAAAAAAGCTCTTTCAATAATGGCAATCCAGCCTCTTTGAGAAGAAAGTAGTAAGTCTGGTGCAATGGGATGCATGAGTCCCAAAGTGAAAAGTCAGAAAGAAGCTCCCCTGGTGAGCAAAATATTCTGTTACAAACTGACCCATGCAAACATTGCTGACTGACTCATCCTGTAGGATTCCTGCATCCTCTGTGCTGGCCATTGTAGGCAGACGTGGAATTTGATCCAAGGGGTCCTCTCCTTTGTTTCACTAACAGCTCTTGATGAGAGCTCATCATCACCCAAATCCAGTCCTCAGGCTCAAACTTATGCTTTCAGAGTGTGGCCAAAACATCTTGAGTCCAATTGAAAAAGATTATTGAAGAAAGATTGAAAGATTTTATGCTCTTTGCTTGGTGGATACCAATGGTGACTAGACAACCTCAGGCAGCCTGGTGTGTGTGGATATGCTGCCTTCCATTAACATATCATGTCATCTCATGGAACAAATTGAAGAAAACATGTTCAGGCTGGTTACTGCCAAAAAATCAAGGTGCTTTTGCAATGGGCATCCAGAACAAATGGAAAGTATGCTTGAAAACTCCCAGCTGCTCTTCCTTTGCTATTTTCTCCATCGCCCCTCTGTCAGGACTGAGCTGCTGGGACAACTGGAAGGGATTCCACATCACAGCAAGCAGTAGAACCACAGATGTCGGGTGTGTTAACAAAGGGAAACACGCCTGCACCAGTTATTTAATGCTTTCCTCCCTTGACATTAAGGAATACTGTGGGAAACCATTCTGCATTTCAGTCTTGCTCCTTTTTTATTCCCCTCAATCTCTGTTTCCTTTTCAGTGTAAAGAAATGTGTGAAGTTACAGAGGTGCTGGTGCATTTTAAGGAAGTGTTTTCTGGATTTCACTTGAGGGACACTATAGCTTGGTCCTGTGTCCTGTGCAGAGGGGCCAAGGAGGCAAAGAAAAAAGCCTTGGGACATGTATTCAAGTCTCTTGTGTACATCAAGAGGCAATGCTGAAGTAGTCCGTGTCCCAGTCTGAGCAGTCTAATACTTTGCAGATGTCCTGCCCAGATCTAGCTTTATTTTTGATAGAAACAGGTCACATTTTAGTAGCAACTTGAGACCTGACTTATTTGATCTAACTTACTTTTTCCCCTGAAAGGCATTAATTTTCTACTCTGATATTTCTCAGAGAGATGAATTAATAAGGCCAAGTGAAGACAACAGTTATTGAATATAACTCTTATATCCACCATTCATGGGGACTAGCAGGTCTTATTTATTACCCACCCACTGTGCCAAACAGAACAAATTTGTACAGAGCAAAGCTGCTCATGTGCATCAGCAGGTGCCTTTCACCTCTGGGTCCCACTGMATCAGAAAGCAAGGGAAGGAAGGGGACTGCTGGTTTTCCTGGGCTGACTTTGGCTGACAGCTCCTCTTTGTGCCAGTCAGCTCCAGGCTGGAGTCAAGAGTCTGCTTAGGGAGAGAAATGACAGAGCACGAGGGTTTCAGTCCTGTCAGCATCCTGTGGGATGTTGTGTTTGTCTCATTGCTCAAATCTGTATGAGTAAGCTACTGGAGGAGGAGATTCTTCCATAAACTGTATATTCTCTGTATAAACGTTATAAACTGTATAAACGTTCTAATCCCCAGTGGAGATACTGTAGTGTTTGTAAAAGTGCCAGAGGAACTGGGATGATACTGGAGGAAGAAGCAATCTCACAAGACCATGTGGGAGAGTTTGGCTCTCTGAACAGTGAGTTTTGGACTGGGTGACCCTAAATGAAGGGCTCCAGTACTCACTGGATGATATTGTCTGGTCCTCTGGTTATCTCAGTCACTGGAGTGCTGTTTGTTGATGAAGTTCCTTTACTGAGGCAGCACTGCTGGAATTTTTTCTATGTAGGTTTTCATACAGCATGAACAAAACATGCCAGGCAGCCTGGCTTTGTCATTGTGCATATTCTGATACACTCAGCCGTGTCTTAAAATACCTTTGACGTGTGTGATGATAACTTAGAAAGTTCCCAAGCAACCAATGAAAATTGCTGGGTTCTTACTCTTTGAAGGTGGCATGTGTGGTGGTGGAGGAAAATGCCGTGGCTGGATAATTTCAGAGCAAGAGAAAAGGGTAAAGTATGTCCAAATTCCATCCAATATTCTTGCGTCTCCTGTCCATCTGTATTTTGTACAAGAATGTTGCACTTTGTTAAAGGAAACCRCAGTGAGTTTCCTCCAAATGACCCACTAAAAACCATAGGTGTTAGAGGTAGAAGAAGCTTTTTTTGTCTCTCCTGTTCCCAGGTGTAAAATAGAATTTTCAACAGAATAAGTCTTTCAAGAAAATATGCCATAAATGTGGAAAGGTTGAGTGCCTTTTCAAGGAATGAACTCCTGAAAGACACCAGTTGTTCCCTTTTGAGAATGTAGGTGCAGTGTCCCATAAGAGTGATAATTCAGGTAGTTCATGTCCCTGTTATCCTCTCTTGGCTGGGTCAYCTGCTGAATTGCATTCTCATGATGTGCTGTAACCAGAGGACAGAATRATCCGTTTCACTGGCACAACAAAAGGTTGATGCATCCAGGGATATTTTTTCTTTTGCTACGAATTCAGCCATCAAAGGAGGGGACATGAAATGTGAGATGTGTAACTTCCGCTAGACAGCCTGGTAAGTTTCTGGGTAGAAATGTTCAGCTTGTGGGTTTGGGTGTGTGTGTGTGGGTTTGTTTCAGTGATAAGGAARCATTTTCTGTCAGACTGCTGGCCAAAGGCAGCTGTGGCTAGTGACCAGTGGCTTAACGGGCTCCTACAGCACATTTATATTATTCCTTGCATGTACAAACACGTTGTACTTCACTTTTGAAATCCTGTTGTTGGAAGCAAATTTTGAATGCACTTAGAGCAGAGCTACTTGAATAAACCATGCAGCTCCTATTCAAAGTAATTGCCACTTAATTTCTTTATCATATAAGCAATGCTGCTGATGTGACATTAGACATAACTGCGTCCCATTTTGGTGCTAATATTTGCACCTACACAAGGCATTGAAAAAGCTGGAACTTTCCTTAAGATAAAGCAAATGTTGCATCTTTAATGGAATATAATAGGCATAAACAAACTGACCCCTTCTTTGGGGTTAGAAATGTGGAGGTTTTCTCCTTTTACAAACTGACCCCTTCTTTGGGGTTAGAAATGTGGAGGTTTTCTCCTTTTACATGTAACAAACACCAAAAAGCACTACAAGTCATTAGACATCTTCATAAACACCAAGTTAAAATAAAACAACCATTCAGCATTCATTTCCACGCAGATTCCACCCAAATACATTATATTATCTGCCTGTGAAAACAGTCCTTTTGCTCATGTGCCTGGTGCTGTGGAGAGCAGAAAGCTTTCAGCCTCTGACAGAGGCTTTCAAAAATCTCAGTCTCTTCATGGTGGGGCTGTGTCTGCCAAAGTGAATGGAAAGATGTTTGTGGACAAAGGAAAAGGTCACCAAAATTCAAATTTAGATAGCTGAAATAAGAGAGTTAAATATGTTTCTGGTTACCTCTCTGCTTTCTTTAAGCCCTTATATATAGATATAGGGATGTAAAAACCTGTTTTAACTCCTAACCGGATTTTAAGTACCTACATTATGGTTTAAGATAGAATCTTAGAATCTTTTAGAATCTAACCTGTATTGTCTTTCTGATGGATGAGGCCTGAAGTCTTTGCTATGGAGGCAGTGTTAATGATAGGCAATTAGCAGAAACAGCATCTCAGTGCATAGGCACTTTGCTAGTAAAATCATCACTATGCATGATCAAATGACTGCCAAGGCATTCAGCTTTTACTGTGTACTAACCTCTGCCTACATCACAGCCCAAATTAACCTTATGGCAGGGGTCTGAAACAAGATTGCCATTCTCACTGGATCCTTGCAGCATCACAAGTTCTGGTAGATGCCATTCCCCTGCATTGTCCCTCTCTATTGAGCTTGAAGACTCCTACACACCTGGTTCCCCTCAAGCAGACCACTTTGGGAATTAGACTTATTCAAAGATATCCTTAAAAGCTTTATGTGGTGGACAACAAACATCAGGTGGTCATTTTTGTTGAGGATGGCAGTTTATGTAAAGTTAATGTGTTCTTTGGTCTTCATTGCTCTACAGAACTCAAGACCTTGGCCATAATGCGTTTCTTGATTTCCTTCCCCTTTGTGTGTCACTGTCCTTGCTTATCAGTCTAAAGCATATCAGATGGACCAGGTCAGGGGCAATGTGGGGTTGCTTAGGGGTGTTGATGCCATGGGGGAAGCAGCAGAACCAGCATGTGAAGTATTCAAGGGCTGACTTTGAACTATGTGAATTTGTGATATGCAAGCTGCACAGGAAAGGGAATGTGAGGTTACTGCAGTCACTCAAGCCTGAGAAGATACTTGTCATTCCAAAACTATGCTGTTGAGGGCTTTGGTTGAGGGGGAACATCAGGGAGGAGAAAATAGAAAGTGGAAAGTAGATTCTCAGGGTTGCTATTAAGAAGCACAAGTGACGAACTCATCTATTTCTTCCCCGGGAAAGAGGTGGAAACAGTACACATAACATCACTCCAGGCCTCTTGCTGTGAATTTTCCAGGGTTTGTATAAATCTGTAATCTTAGGCTGGGACTCCTGAGTTCAAGGAAATCTGAAGAGCATTTCACCTCTCTGAGGCTCTTATGCTCTCTATGGGTTGCAGGCTCCTGAGCTGCCCATGCACGCCGAGTCTCTTCATGGACTCAGCAAAGCAAGGGTTTGCAGGAGGATGAGTGAGGAAGAGATTGCATCTACATATCCATATTTTGGCTGCACCATCTCTTTTTGGTGACGAGTATCCTTAACTGGCACCATCCTCTCCTGGGATGCCGGGGGAGCAGTCTTTGCAGAGGTGCCACTCCTCCAGCCTGTGGGGCTGTTTCTGCCTACGGCTCACAGCTCTCARTTCTGCCTGGCAGCCTTTTCTGTAAAGCATTCCAGCTTGTTTTGATCCTTTATGATCAGCATCGAGAGGTTGTTCCATTGCCCTGACAGCCCTTATTGGGGTGAAATACACGCAGTATTACCAGCAGTTACTGTGGATAATTAACAGCTTACCTGGGGCTTCCACATTTACTTGAAGTTGCAAGGATACAAGACTTAGGGAAGCCCAATCTGATCATTATTCATTTCTGAGACATATGT